CCATCTCCCCGCCTGCATTCTCCGGGGCGAGAAAAGCCCCATTCGTAAGTACGGATCCAACATAAGTTGGATCTGCATAACTCGGGGACTGCCTGTATAACAATATCAAAAATCTTTCATGATTCCATTAGTGAAATTTTATTCTTCTTGATGTTTTTGAACAGCAATACACTTAGTATGAACAGGAGAACCTGAAAAAAGGAAGAAAGATTGGGTTAAAAATTAAAGCAAGTCATAATCACTTATGCTCATTAATGTTTAAATTTAATCTGTTGCAGTTTGGAGGACAGATTCTGATTCCACCAATGCCAGCATAGACAGAATGACAGGAAGACAGACTAGAGCTGAGAATGCTAATGTAGAACTTGGAAGATCTGGACTCAGTTCTCTATCTCTTTCCTATGCCCAAGTGGAACCTTACATAGGCCACATGGTCTTTCTTTGCTTCAACACCCTATATGTAAAATGGGAATAATAGCACTTCTGTACTTCACCAGAGTGTTCTGAGGATAAAGCCATAAAAGATTTTGAGGCACTGCAGGAATGAAGGATACATGATTACTTAACTACTTAAAATGTAAAAAATTGCCATAAACTTCACATGTCCCTAAAACACACCAAAGAAAGAGATAGTCTACAGCTGGGAACAGAAAAGCCCAAAAGTAAAATAATAAAATACCTGACAGAGAAAAGAGTCAAGCAGAATATACTTGCAGATAAAAAAAATGTGCTCATAGATCAATTCTTTAAGGGGATATATGTCAGGAGACCTGGATAAATCAGTTCAGTCAGAATATGAAGTAGTCTGTACCACCACTCAGCACTTAATATTAATAATCTTCTTTTTTTTAAAATCAAATGCTCATACCTCTATAGTTAGCAGTGCAATATTAATTATGATTAAGGCCAATGTGTTGTTTTCAAACCATACATTAATATACTCGTCACATCCCTAGGTAAAAGCAAATGAAAAAGTATTAAATTAAGTATTTTGATTCCTGGATTCAAACTACATATTTATAACATGTTCCTGATCAAATTCTATGCAACAACTTTCTACCATGGTTTTAAGATTTTGATACTTACTCAGCAGAAGGCAATAATATTAGTGTGTAATGCTAAGAGTTTGGCCCAGCAAATTTTCAATTTATTTTAAATGTATAAGCACATGACTAAGGGTATGTCTAGTCTACAGAGCTTTTCTAGGATATCAGAGGTATCCCGGAAAAGCTCTGCCATGTCCAAGGAATACGTCTGCTTTAAAAAAAAAAAAAAAAAAAAAAATCAGAAAAGCAGATGCATTTTTTCGTCATCCTTGAAAACCTCATGCTACAAGGAAGAAAGGATGTTCCAAAAGAGAGTTTTTCCCTGACATTTGCTCCATGTAGGTGGTTTGCAATTTGTGTATCTCCTGACTTTTCTTTATAGTGTAGACATAGCCTAAATCAGTTACTTTTGCACTCAAAAGTTTTGGGACTAGTGGCTGATCTAAGGGCTTGTGCAGAAACATATTGATAAATCTTCATTCAAGCATCCAGTCACTCTACAACTGAATGCTTAAATGAGTATTTTCAGCTATTGCAAGTTTACTGTCATTCCCCACACATTATTCAACTCAAGATGGATTTAATGTCTTCTGGATCATTGTTAATGTTTATTTTTCCATTAACTTTTATATTTAATAAACTATTATAGAGATAACAAGCCGAAAAGTAAAAAAGAGACTTTGTTACTATGGTAAAAGGGTAACAGGCAGATCTCTCACTAATATAAACTTATAGTCTCCATGATTTTTCCTCAAACCCCATTCCCCGTTTTTGAATAACAGTGCATGTTCATATTCAGAAAACTGAATCTTAGAATAGGGTAAAGAATAAAGCTTATATAAATTAGGACTGCTCAAAGGTTTTCTGTGAAACTATTTTCCAACAGCATTCAGAAGAAGTTCTTGAACGGACTCATGGACAGACAGAGTGTTGCACATTTCTAAAATATATAGATAGATGTAGCTCTTTACTCCTGCTTTGTAATAATAGAAGGCTCTCCAATTTGATGGCCCTAGACAAGCTTGTCCCACTATTATAATTAGCTAGTTCTGAGCTATGGAGGTTCTAAGATGCTGCTTATTTTTCTGCTTGGGTTCTTTAATTCTGTAAAGTGAATGGAGATGTTTTGGTGAAAGATAACTCTTAAATAGATCACATGGTACAAATAACAATAATGATAACTGTATGTTGCCATTGCTTTGATGTTACATTCTCCCCCCCCCCCTCCATTTCCTATTTCATAGATGTACTTGTACACAGCACAAAATGGTGGATAGCAACAAGTGCTGCACAAGCTTCTGGTAAATGTTCTCTTATGACTGATTCATTCTGTGGTGCTCCTAGCTCCTGTTATCCTGACTCTCCTCCTTGATTTAGACTAGAGTTTTCTGTGTGGCAGACTCCTAAACAGGAACTATCATGCCGGAAGCCTGTCCAGGAATGTCTTTGCTTTAACTATGATGATTGTTACTATTGTTTCACTTTTTTGTAAAGGCACTTATGGTGTTCCATAGGCTCTGGGACTCCTGGCAGGCTTGGGGGCAAAGCCACTTGAGGCAGCTTGCCTTTCCATTCCTTGCCAAGAGTGGGGGGGAACCACCTGGGCTTCTCATCACAACTCCCAGCCAGAAATGGGGTCCAGCCGCCACAACTTTCCCTTTGTACATGGTACAGGCATCCAGGCTTCTCACTCTAACTCCAAGCCAGGAACGGGAACTTTTTTATCTGCTCCACAGATAGTAGCAGGGTCAAGCAGCCACTCACCTCTCCAGAGGAGTAGAGGCAGCTGGACTAGAACTGTCCCGCTTTCTTGTCAGTTTCATAGCTTCTACCCTACTTTGGCCTAACGGTGTAGTGTAGACCAGCCCTTAGTTTTGAAAGCTGGCTACTGTGTTCACTCAGGTAAAACAAAGATTGGTTATTCCTTACCTTACTGTACACTTCATTCCCTGGGGCATCACAAAACCATTCCTTCCTATTAGACTTTATACATGAACATGGGACCTGATCTGCATGTTCTTTATTTTCATTCTTTTTCCAGTCTGTAGAATTGTGTCTGCCACAACATTCCAGCTAGAAAAAAAAAGATCCTGTCAACTTTAATGCCAAAACAAATAAAAAATTAATTTGTGCCCCCAAAGTAGGCAGAATTATAATACAAGAATAAGTAGTAGTGTCAGTGATGTAATTCAATCCTTTAAAATATGGTTTATGTTGTCTCATCCTTCTCTATCTCATAAGAATCCAATCTCTTCCAAAACTGCCTTTGCATGTATTTGTAATATACAATGGTATGTATAATATATGCATTTTACAAGTATAGTAAGAGAGGAATATGTTCTTAAAATATATATTTGAAAGGAATTTCTATTTGAAAGGGTCATGATAGAACTAATAAAAATGTAAATTGGAAATGTTATTATAGTGTTTTTATTCCAGGCAAATGCCAAACATTTTGGCCTTCATACACAGCCTTCATCAAGGCATAAATGTGAGTTAAGAAAGCATTCATTTTACACATTGTTGTTTATGCCGTCTAGAATTAGAGGCACCACGTTGACAACAGACCAGGGCACACTGAAATACTACCAGGAAGAAAAGAGAAAAATCTGTAAAAAATAGCAAAGGAAATGGAATGCATTTCCATAATTAGGGCTAGATATTTAAGGAGTACAAGTCTAATTTAGACACCTTAATAAGAGCAAAATGTCCCAAAACACTCACACTGAGCAGCTCTTATGGTGACACTTATGGTAAAAATGTTAAGAGCTTAGTTCCCAACATGCTGCGTGCTTTAGAAAATCTATCCATTTATGTTCATACCTAGGTAAGAATGGAAAGCTGGCTATGTTTAGATTGCAGGCTTCTTTTGGAAGCTTTTCCAGAAGAGATCTTCTGGAAAAACTTCTTTTAAAAGAGAGCTTCCACACAACAAAATCACATTGAAAAAGCAATCTGCTTTTTCGAAAGATATCATCCATTCAGCATGGACGCTATCTAGCATTTAACCTGTGATTTCTATGGATGGAGTGGCTGCCAAGGCACCTGTGCTTTTTCTTCTTTCTTTCCTCTTTTTTCAAAAGAACTCCCTCTTCCACATCCACACACGCCTTTTTTCCAAAAGAACTCGTTCAGAAAAAGGCTTCTTCCTTGTAGAAAGAGGTTTACTGCTGTCAGAAATAACCCTGTGTTCTTCTGACTTTGTCAAAAGAACGCAATTGCAGTGTGGATGGATGTGTAATTTTTCCAGAAAAATGGCCGTTTTTCTGGAAAAACTCTGCAATGTAGAAATACCTTCTTTTGAAAATAAGGCCCTCATTGTAGCGTTAGCACTTCACAAAAATATAACTACAGACAGTCCCCGGGTTACGTACAAGACAGGGACTGTAGGTTTGTTCTCAAGTTGAATCTGTATGTAAGTCGGAACTGGCGTCCAGATTCAGCCGCTGCTGAAACTGATCAGTTTCAACAGCGGCTGATGTGGACACCCTGTATTATCTCTCAATACTACTATACTTATTTTAAATGATTATCAAATAATGGAATGTTTGAAAACAGCTACAGGGAGTCCCCGAATTACGCAGATCCGACTTATGTCGGATCCGCAGTTACGAACGGGGCCCGTCTCCCTGGTCTCCAGCAGCCCAGGGAGAGGAAGCAAAGCAGCGGAGCACGTGGGCAGCAGACAGCCCAGACGCGTCTGGGCTGTCCGCTGCCTGCATGTTCCGCCGCTTTGCTCCCCGTCCCCCTGGTCTGCTGGACATAAGTCGGATCCGCATAACTCGGGGACTGCCTGTACTAGCACAAAATCACATGGGTCAACTCCTCAGGCATCCTTCCCACCATCTGAATATCAGTAGTAGATCTGTTTGGAAAGCTGAATTTCTGTCCCAGGTGAAATTCCAACATTTCAACATTTTTTTTTTATCCTAAAACAGTATGAAAAGTCAAAATATTTAAAAAAAAAATTAAAAAAAAAAAAGAACAGACAGTTCTGGAAAAAATCAATTTGGAAATGGCCGTACAATATTTTGGTAATTTTTGAAATTTCATATTGATTGAAAAGATTTCAGGTTTAAATGCCAATTCAAAAGGAAATATCCTCTTTAGAATTTTCCAATTGAAAAAATCAATTTAGTCAAAAATAACATTTCCCTAATTCCTGCATGAATTTAAGTGAAAACCCATATTTTGCTGGGGAAATGTATCAGTCAAAAACCTATGAAATCTTAGGTTGTGGCTGGGTTTTTCTAACAATTGTTGATGATATCACACAAAAGCTGAAAGCAGAGCTGGGAATGCTGCCTTATTTTATGATGATGTCACACCACTAGCTGTTGCTGAAAATCAGGACTTAGCAAGAACAGATTTTCAGAGAATGTTTGTTTTTAAAAGTATCTGCAGAACAAAGGAAATTGTAATTCACCACTGTGAATTATTTGGGATCCTAAATTATTGCTTATCATATGTAAAAAACTTTGCAGTTCACCTTTTGAGCAATTTATCTCATGGAAAATGATGCTGCTATGAAGAACTTCTCACAAAGGAAACTGTTTATGCCTCACTCTGTAATGAAAATGTTTATGAATTCTAGAAGTATGTGGGGCTAACGTATGGCCTTAAGTTGCCTCCAGCAGTCAGTACTGGTGAAGAGAAATATAGCACTAGCAGGTGTTTTCACATGTGCTTGGACAGAATAATGATGAGTATGGTATAATGCTTTGGAGAGGTAGGCTTTGTCCCTGAGGAAGGAAACCTGAATGCTGCCACTGTGTGATCCAGATATACCTTCTTACAGGATACACTATTCACTCCTCTCCATGGTAGGCCATTTTCACTAGATGCCGTGCATGGGTTCAGGCCACAGATATCTCCTTTGCACATCTTTTATGGCTTTTTGCATTGGCCACGGCACTAGAGATTTTTGCCCTTATGCTCAGGGGCCAGTGGCCTACAGTGGCTGAGATTGTGTCTGCCCCTGTACAGAGTGGCAAAGCAAGAGTGGAGTGGCGTCCTTTTGCCCTTCTGCAGACCTAGCCCAATCAAGCCCATAGACTCCCAAGTTTTCAGTTAAACTGCGGGGAATATATTTTCTTATATCTGACCCAAGCAACCATGATAAATAAACCTATAGCTAAATAGTTTTTTCAGTGACTGATTTTTGACACAGACTTTCCATGTGATAAAAGAGGGTGGAACATTTTTTGGGGTGATGATTTTTCAATTTTCTGCTTACAGTTTCCTGCACAGCATGCAGAATATACCACTCATGTTCTCTTCCAGTCAGATTTTTGTTCCCATAGTTAGAAATTACTTCATCAATTCTGTCATTCCACATAGTCTGGACCTGTTAATACAGAGCATTGGCAATATATATTGGCAATATAAACTGCCCACAATACTGCGTTATTAGTATGACTGAATTCAGGGCCTCATGCTAAGCACTATACAAACATGTAGTGAGAATCAGTCCTTGGGCTAAAGAGCTTCAATCAAAATAGATAACATAGGCAAAGGATGTGAGGGAAAACAGAAGCAAAGTCTATTGAAATGAGTAGTCAGAGATCACATAGCAGGTCAAATGTAGAGCCAGGATCATCTCGATCTCCAAACTCCCACAACAGTGTCCTATCCACTTGACCATGCTGCCTCTCCTAATTATGTCTCCTTAGAATTCTGATGCAAGAACATGCATGTCAGCAGCATTTTGTATATTCTGGTTTCATGAAAAGGCTCAGGGACCTGAAACCTGGACATTTCTATTGTGGAATGAGGCCCTCGATGCTTCCATTTTTGGAAAGAGGATTCAGCACTCTTTGTTTTGCTTTTACTGATACGCTACTTCCCCCCAAGGGCCACCTGTGAGACGTGTTGCTCTGGCCTCTTTACAATATGCGTGAGCAGCTGCAGCCATGGGAGCCAAAGAAAAGAAGAAAGCAGAAATGCGAAGATGAAAAAAGCGACCCATTGTAACAGCAGCCTCTAGGGCAGTGGACTGATATATCAAAGGAAAAATGCAGTTGCACAGAGGTCATGAGTAATAGTGACATGCTGTAGGTCATGGAAACATTTCATTGCAATGCAAGCAAATGCTAAGTCTCTCTCTCTGCCACCTCATGCCAATTAGCCAACTCATTCTGCAGACACAGCTGGAAGCCCTGCACTGTGAAGGATGGCATGTTAGTTTAATGAATTATAATGCCATACCACCATTATAGTTAAGGTTGAGATTCAATTGTGGTTGGTTTACTGCTATCTTTAAAATAACACACACACAAACACCTGATTCCAGAATATATCCTATCTGCTCAAATATTCCAGTACAGAAAATTATTCTAGGGCTGGCAGAACTCAGTCAGTATTAATTTTCTTGTTAAGAAGCAAATTCTGGTGTCAGAGAGAGAGTCAGAGGCAGCAGAAGTGATGCAGTTCTACTTTACAGTGTGGGAATAGGAGCTGGCTTTGGAAAACCCACACAAGAGCCTACAGCCTCCCTCTCCCTTCCCTCGTCCCTACCTGGTGCATTCTGAGCCTAGCTTTGAAAGGACTCTTGTTTGCATTCCCATGCAATAGATTTTAACATTAGGGAGTAGAGCCAGGAGAAGGAAGAGTTAGAACTGCTGTACAGGACCATGAATTACTGCCATCCGTACAGCAGCAGTGCTGAAATGAAGTGCATAAACTACTATATGATGGTAAAAAGAAACAGTGGAGTACCGGGCCAATGGTATTGCACAATCTGTAGCCACTGAGTTAAAGGTCGCAAGAAACCTTTAATTTTTTCCCTCCCCAGCTGTTTTGTGTAGAAGTAGGCATGCACCACTTCGAAGCCTGTCTCCAAAACAGGGTTCTCAGATGTATACTGCAAGCCATAGTGCCTCTCTGCAGCCTAGGTTTAGGCACCTATGCTTCTGAGAAGGGCAAAACGTAGGTCACATTCAGCTCCTCAGCATCTGGTAGAGTACCTTCGGTAGTTCCTTGCCTATCATGCTTGTATTTGTGAATTCTATTTTCAGGTACCTATCTCCCACTGTGCATCATAAAGAAGCTTATATGCCTAACACAGTATTTTGTGGATTCCAGTGATTTTCAAGGGACCTAAAAGTTAAGTGTTGCAAAATTTATGGATGCAATATCTAAATCCGCTATGAATCAGTGATCCAGTAAGTTTAGGTGCCTTCAGGTTTAGACTGCAGTTGAGCAGGGGTTTTGTGGATTGAAGGGGTATCTAAATCTGGGACTTGAGTGCCTAAGTCTCTCTGTGGAGCTGGGCCATAGTCATCATAAAGAATTTTTCGTTCACAGACATGCATTTAATGTAGAACCTAAGCTGACAAATAGTGTAATTAATTCATACATTTTATGTCAGGGTAAAAATAACTGTTGCTATAAATTACAAAATAGACACAACTGTTACACAGTGATTAATTAGATCATTCATGTTAATAAAGCTCATTACATAAGCTAATTATAGCATAATTCTTTTACCATTGTTTAAAAATGAATTAATTCCTTAACAGGCAAGAGAATTTTGCAAACTATCTAGAAGTAGCGGTACTAACATAGTATGTATTACCTATACTTCTTATATTTCACAAAAGTCAATACCTTCTGTCATATGAACTACTTTAGGATCATCTCATCTAACATTGTTCCATATTTTCCCCCACCGACTCATGATCTTGCAGAAACTTGTGCTCTATGTGGTCTTTAAGTCAGCCTATATGTTCTGTTTAAATTGGGATAATACAAGCTGAACCATAGATCTACATTCATTGTTTGCACAGTCTTTGCCTGGACAGTGGTATAAAATACTTAGTACAGGGTAGCCTGCCCCTTTAAGGGCCAGTAGGCACTCTTAAGTTAACCCCATCCCACTTCACCTGTGCTGGGTATTGGATTTAGAAGGAAGGAAGCTCAACTGTGGGAAGCTGGCTAGAGACAAATTTATTAATCAGGTAGAGTCTAAGGAGTGGCTGTTCATGAAAGATCAGGGAGCAACTCAAAAGAGTCCAGGAGGGCTGAGGTGGAAATGAACCTGGGAAGGGTAAAAATTGAAAGGGCAGGTAGAAGGAAAGAAGAGAGACCCCATGGGAAGGAGAGACTGTGGCGAAGGTTTCCGGTTTTGGATTGGATTCCATGGAAAGGGGCGAATTCTTGTTGATGGCTTGGCTGGAGGGCAAAGTCACTCAGGAAGTCAGTGGCAGGGTGAGAGCAAGCTGAAGATTGTGCAGAGAAACTGGGAAACTGGGATAGAAGTTCTACATCTGCTGTCAGGGACGGCCCGGGGCTATAGGCGGATTCGGCTGCCGCCTAGGGCGCTGCCACCCGGGGTGCCCGCCGATGACATCAGTCCATTGACGGCCCTGCAGGCAGGGGCGCCAATTGCGCGCTCCACCTGGGGCACCATTTGCCGCAGCCGGCCTTGAGCTGCTCCTGTCTGCTGGTCTTACTGCAGGGGGTTCTCTGGCATAGTGAGTCATGTAACAATACCTATGATTTTCTAATAGTACTGATGCTGCTGGCTTGTAGTGTGATAAGTTGAATCTTATGAGAAAAGGCCCCTCAGCAGTAGTTAGAGGTTTGCCATGGATCTCCACCCTTTTGTCTCTTCCCTTCCACTTCTTGATCCAGTAGTGGAGTCATTGTGGAGTTACAGGAATGCAGTGCCCCGCCCCCAATTCTGGGGGAGGGGGTCTCATCCAAGCTAGCTGATGGCTGGAAAGGCAGCAAGTGAGCCTTCTCCCAGTCTAGCACTATAGCTGGCTGACATCTCCTAAATGAAGATATCAATAGGAAGTGATCACAGAGAAAGGTGGAGGGAAGCTGATACCTACTCAACCCACATTCACAAGCACCTATATCATTTCCTATACAACATTATCACAATTCTTGTATTTCCTTCTAGCTCCCCCTCAGCAAATCTATTGGTGCTACTGCTGATGATAATCTCCTTGGCGCCTGCACAGATGGTGACTATAGGGCAGTGGTTCCCAACCTTTTCCAGATGGGGGCCCATTTTGACAACTCAGAAACACTTGGTGACCCAAGGCAATTCAAAAACCGGGGAGGGGGGCGAGGGCAGAGCCATTTGGGGAGACACTTGGTGGCCCTTCTGAAATGTAATGGCAACCCATATTTGGGTTCCGACCCATAGGTTGGGAAACTCTACTATAGGGAGAGTCAATGGAAGAGGGATGGGGAATTAATATGCATGAGAATCTTCCAAGTCTTCCTGGATTCCAAGTTGCTCTGTGTCCTCAATGTGTCGGCATGACCAGACTTGGGCATAGAAAGTCCACTGCAGAGATCCCATCTTGGGGTATAATGTATCTCTGTAGCCCATAGGGATCGACCCTTAATAACTGTGTCAGCATACCTATGAGATAGAAAGTTTACATACCTCTTCTTTTCTTAAATATATCAGAACTGGAATTGCAGCTTGGAGACCAAGCAGAAGAGTTATGAGTCCCAGATACTAAAAAAGACAAATACAGTAAATAGATACATAAAATTAATGTACTATAGAACACTGCATGGACAACTGCTTAATGAACTGAGATCTGACCAATCATGCTTATTATTTAAATGTATTCCAATAAAAAAAGGAAATCTCTTCCTATAGAAGCAATTGGAGAGCACCGTACATTGCTATCACTGCTGCTGCCATTCAGGATCAGGACATGTCTATATGGACAGCACTGCAGCACCACAGCTGTACCAAATATGCAAACACATCTGGTGAAAATGCTGTATGCTGAGAGGAGAGAGGTCTCCCATCTGCATGGAAAACCACCTCTGTGAGCAGAAGTTATGTCACTGAGTGAAGCTCTCCTGCTGACGTGAGAGCTTACATTGGTATAACTTATGTCACTCATGGGGCAGAATGTTCACACCCCTCAGCAACATGACATAAGCTGTAGTATAGACATAGCCTTAAATATAAACTAAGACATAATTTGCTGATGCTAAATTTAAAGAAGAAGCTACAACTTTTATTGAAATAATGACTGAAAGTTACTGGGAGGAAGCATCTCCTGACCCATGTTAAGAATGGGAATCATAATTACACAATAGTTAGAGTAAATAGGAAAGCATTGTGAAACCAGGTAAAATCCAGGCTCCTTTGAAGTGAATTATTATTTATTGATATTATCATAATAGTTAGTAGCCTCAGATATGGCTCAGGATTCCACTATGCTAGGCACTATACAAATGTAGAATTAAAAAGACATAAAAACAATTATACTGGACCAGACCAACAATCCATCTAGTTCTCTATCCTATCTTCTGATAGTGGCTGATGACAGGCACTTCAGAAGGACTGGACAAGAGTGATCAATCCCGTGTTGTCAATGCCCAGATTGTGGCAACCAGAGGCTAGGAACACCTGGAGAATGGGGTTGCATCCCTGATCATCCTGGTTAATAGTCATAGGTGAATTTATCCTCCATTAACTTAACTATTTTGTTTTTACACCTCACTATAATTTTGGCTTTCACATTATCCTTTGGAAACGATTGCCACAGATTGACTGCACTGCATGAAGAAGTAGTTACTTGTGTTTGTTTTAGACTTGCTGCGTATTAATTTCACTGTGTGATCCCTGGTTCTTCTATTATGTGAAGGATTAAAACAAAAAACGCTTCCTTATTCACTTTCTCCACAACATTGATAATTTTACAGACCTCTATCATATTCCTCCTTAGTTATTTTTCCAAGCTGAAAAAGCCCAGTCCTTTAAAATCTTCTCTCATGGAAGCTATTCTATACCCTTGATCATTTACTCTTTCTTTTTACCTTTTCTAATTCTAATATAACTTTGAGAGAAGGTGACCAGAACTGAATGCAGTAGTAAAGGTGTGGGAGTACCAAAGATTTATTTAGTGGCACATTTACTCTTTCTTTTTACCTTTTCTAGATTTATTTCATTTCAGATTTATTTCATCTTGAAAGCATTTACCTGAAACCAGGTAAAATAATTTTATAATGCATAGTTGGGATTACATTTTCCAGTGTGCATTACTTTGCATTCATCATCACGGAATTTCATCTGCCATTTTGTTACTCAGTCACCCAGTTCAGTGAGATCCCTGTGTAATATTTCATAGATCATCACACTTATTTTGAGTAATTTTGTATCATCAGCAAAATTTCCAGATGATACAAAATTACTCATTTCACGGTTACCTCTTTTTTCCAGATAATTTATTAATATATTGAATAGCACTGGTCTCAGTACAGATCCTCAGGGGACACCACTATTTCCTCCTCTCCACTTGGAAAAGTGACCATTAATTCCTACCATTTGTTTCCTGTCCTTTAAACAATTATACATCCATGAGTGGACCTTCCCCTCATTTATTTGTTTAAAAGCCTTTGTTGAGGGACTTTGACAAAGATTTTCTGAAAGTCCAAGTACACTAGTAGTGGGCAACCTGCAGCCCATGGTCTGCATGTGACCCACTGAGGTTCCACATGTGGCTCACGCACACCCCATCTGTCCCTTGTACCTCTTACATACTGGGGCACTGGAGCCCACACTTCCTACTCCTCTCCCTCCTTCCCAATACTTTTGGAGCTCCATGAATCGGCTGATTTGTGCTCAGTCCCCACTACTTCCCCTCTTTTCCATAGCTTGAATGACACGAATCTGCTACTGAAAGTAAGTAACCAAAATAAAATATTGTGAGAATTTAAAATTATAGCCCAATAAGAGTTACATTGATGTGTGTCTTGCCGTTAATTTCAATGGGAGCAACAAATACCAAATATGAGTACTAGCTATAACCAAAAAACCTCTTAATCATACTGGGTATTTCCATAATGTAGCTGTTTTATAGCCATTTGTGTCTTCAAAATATAATCTATATATCGTGAAACACTTCATATTTCATGTGATATAGAAACAATAGATGAAATCTGGTCCCATCCACTGTAGTTAATGGGAGTTTTGCTATTGACTTCAGTGGGGCCAGGATTTCAACCAGAATAATTTTATCCACAATGCTTCCAGCAATAGGTATAAAAACCACAAAACTGGGACATGATTCTGCAGGCCTGAGTCACACAAACTTCTTGCTGATTTACTGGAGAGTGATACATGAGTAATATCTGCATAATCAGCCCCCAAGGCAAGATTTCACATTTTAAGGAGATTTGCCAAGATACTTTCTTCACATATCCTTTACTAGCTATTTGTCTTGTGATCCCCTGAGTTACATGGTATTGTCACTACTCTGAGACTGGATGAGTCTCAACATGTGAAGAATTTTTAAGATGGCCACATAAAACATTTCAGTGGCAATACTGTTGCTGATATTTCTCTATATGAGTATCTAAAACACTCGTAGCTGTGACATTTTTCTCTGCTTCAAATATCTAATAAGCCCTTGTATGCATTTCTGCTTCTGTGCAAAGCTGTGTTGAAAATATTGCTTATTCATAGATCATAAAACAAAAAAGGACCACTGTGAACATCTAGTCTAATCTCCAGTAATACATAGGCCTTCGAGCTTAAGGTCCATAAAGTTCAAAAAGTATGTTGCAGTGCTACACGTGTTGTTAGTAAATGTGTATCTGTTTTATTTTTCCTTTTCACTTCCAGCTGTTTTTCTTCTGTCCATTGGACCAGCTGATTTTGTATTTCTTAGGTCTAATTCTAAAATTGTGCAGCCAGCCTGTCAAGGAAGACCCTTGAAAGATGGCACACACTGTTAAGTGAGTCAACAATGTTCTTCTGATTCAACTTGTGATCCATTGACCCATGAGGGACTGCAGACTACGCCTAAGTGATCAGTGAAAGGCTGTTACCTTGAACAGTGGTTTTCAGTCTGTGATCCGCAGACCCCTGAGGATCCATAGACTATGTTTGAGATTTCCAAAGGGGTTCACACCTCCAGTTGAAATTTTTTAGGGTCGGCAAGAGAGAAAGATTACAAACCACTGCCTTAGAGGGACAGAACTTTTACCAGCCTAAAAAGAAGATGCTATTGAAGGAGCTGAGGAATATGGATGGAAACACTCCCAGGCTGAAAATCTGGTTATACCTGGGAAGATACCTTGCTCAGGATAAAAGTATATGAGAAGGAGGGTGGTAGTATTTAATTTACAACCTTCAAATCCGAACACTGTACAGGCAGTCCCCGGGTTACGTACAAGATAGGGACTGTAGGTTTGTTCTTAAGTTGAATCTGTATGTAAGTCGGAACTGGCGTCCAGATTCAGCCGCTGCTGAAACTGACCGCCAGTTCTGACTTACAT